TAAGTGTACTATATACATATTGTATTATGTTATATATAGGTGTATTATGACATATTTATCTATTCTTAAAAAAAGGGTTTAGGTTTTCAAATATTTCTCTTATGAACAATGTTACAAAAAATGTTAAAGTGCACATGTAAAGTGGTAACCCTTAGATGCATATTCTTCTGTCACTAAATTGTGAGAATATACAAGTTTCCTTGCTAATTCATTCATTAAAATTCCCAATAGTAAGATAAAAATTATCATTTCTCCAGATAATTTTCTACATGCTGGGTTATCAGAGTTATTACTTTTTGCCAATGTCTCAGAAGTATCATTGCATCTAATTATGGATTAAATTTTCATTTTTCTGATAAATATATGAAGATGGAAAGTTTTTTCATCTGTTTATTTTTTTTTGCAATTCTTCTCTTATAACTGCTTGTTTTTATTTATCTTATATCCATTTTGCTATAGGCAAGCAAGTGGTAACAATAAGAAGACAAATTTTAACTTCCTTAGAAATAGAAAAGTAACCCAATTTTATTTTTATATAAAATTTTAAAATGCCTTAAAATTTCACAATCAACATGAAAAGTTAATAAACAATTTAACGAATTTAAATGCTACAGAAAAAGTCCTAAAATGCCGTATGTTCCAGTGTTATAACTCCTTGTTATTCATTTGTGAAATAACTTCTAATCTTCTGTTATTTGTAAAGGAGATTTTCACCAATAATATATTACTGAAGAAGTATAAGTTAACTTATCAGTATTTTTTCAATTTAACATTATACTTCTAGAATAAAATTTAAACAAAAGCCTTAAACCAGTAATTTTCTGGGTGGAAAATACTTCTACAGAAAATGTGTATGTATTATATTTCAGAATAATTTTTCATCTTAAAGTGTGTCACTCATTTGAAGTAGTTGCAAACTATTGTCAAGAAATAATAGGAAGAAAATATCATAGTTTTTACAGTACAAGTGAAATGATGAGTTTACTATTTACTTAAAATTTCTCTAATCATTTATTTTGTGAACTATAGGATTCAGATTCAAAATCAAACATCCCAGCTCCTAAATGCAGATCTTTACTGGTATCTATTCAGGTTAAGTTGACAAGAGAGGTGCATTGTAACATTTGTGCCCATTCAGTGAAGATGCCCAATGATGCTTTTACCTCTCTGGTTGGGGATACTTCTGTTCCTAGTGCTTTGCCATATTCTTGACCCCTACTGAAGCATTATCTAAGGTAAAATAGGCCTTACCTTGAACAATGCAAACCTCCTTTGATTACCCATTGTTGTACCAATAACAGCTGATCAAGTTACGTTTCCTCTGCATGTGTTACCACCAATATGGAGGAAATCCCATGTCCCTATTGGATGTTTGCTGAGTTTGGTAATAGACATTAAAGAGACCTTTTGTTGTTTTCATTGTTGTTATTTTTTTTTCCAATGTCATTGTGCCTGTTTAACAATAGAAGACGAGGCCAATTATTACTAGACACGGATTTGACATAGACAAAGTGTGGAATCTTCTAATTGGTGTGATTTGGGGGATTCTGAAAAGGCCTGCTGCTTCTAAAATACTTACCAATCTATTAACTGATGCCTGAGTTTCCATAAGTAATGTTCTATGCCTCTATCTAATTAGTATGATCCTCATTGCCAAGAATATTCAGTTTGCTTTCTATAAAGAAAACTGGAGGAAAAGCAGATCTGGGTCATTGTTCTACTTCTGCAAAAAAAGTAGCTGAGAGCACTTGTACAAATTTCTCAACTCTTAACTTCTAGTTTTTCATTATAAAATGAGGGCATTAGAGTGCATATTTAATTAAATACCTTCCACTCTTGCAATATCATGGTATCTACATTAGCAATTTTCAAACTATCTCTCTTGGGACCTCTGACAGGTCAGAAGGACTCTTTCAGGAGTCTACAAGGTCAAAACAATTTTCATAAAAACTTTAAGATTCTTTTTGCCTTTTTAAATTCCCATGTTCTCCAGAGTTTTCCGGGTATAATGGAAAACAGTTATTCACAGAAGTATTTCATTAGTTAACCTGCAATAAGTTTATAATTAGTATTTAAATGAACAAATAAACAGTATTTTAAACATATTTCTCAGCTTTAATTTCTCAGATAGTGCCAGTAGATTTAACGCACATAAACAAAAGCTCTTTGGGGTCCTCAATATTTTTAGGAGTTCAAAGAGTCTTCAGTCAGGTGCAGTGACACACACCTGTAATCCTGGCTGAAGCAGGAGGATCACAGGTTCAAAACCAATTTCAGTGAGGCGCTAAGCAACTCAGTGAGACCTGTCTCTAAATAAAATCCAAAATAAGACTGGGAATGTGGCTCAGTGGTCAAATGCTCCTGAGTTCAATCTCTCATATTCACCCCCTACATGCAAAAAAAAAAGCTTCAAAACAAAAAAGTTTAAGAACTCCTGGTTTACACCATAATGGTAAGAGTATGAGTAATGTTAATGTAAATGGTAAATGTATGAGGTTTTATTTTCCTAAACATGAATTTTGATGAAGAAAGACAGAGTGAAAGTCTGAGGTCATTGAAACCAGAGAATAACAAGTTTGGAAAAAGAAATAACTATTACTATTTCTATTAATAAAATGATAATAGTAAATAAAGATTCTGAAGCAAATAATTAATGAATTCACTGCAAAGATGGAGATGAAGGTGACCTTGCTGAATGTTTTGAAATCATGAAAATAAAGCTGCTGTCCCAGATAGGGAAGTCAAACTCGTAGAATGAGTAGGGGGAAAAAAATAAACCCCAAGAAAGTAGCTATGCCACACTGATAAAGTCAACTGCCATATGGTTTTGTGGACAACCAGAACATTGAGTGGGTTATTCATTTAAGATTTTAAAAAATTAGGCAATAAAAACATCTAGTTTGTATTAGTCCATGAAAGAATTGTACCCACTGCAAGATTGCATTTCAATCTTTGTAGCAATGTTATTCCTAACAGTCTTGAGAGGTGTTGGGTTCAAAATTTGTAAATATATGGTACCAGTAAATGATATTTTTCATGTACAGAAATGTTTTATAATCCAAACTATATTGTAAGATACTACACAAGATAAAAGAGAACCTATTTTTTAAATTGACTGTTAAATCCATTAAACAAAATTGGTAACAATTTTCTGTCTCTTTCTAAAGTATTACCAAGTATTTTGTATAATTGCATTGACAACAGAACAGAAAGAAAACGGGACAGAAACAATATTGAAAAGACACGTGGCATGAATTTTCCCAGAATGATGAGAGATACAACATACAGATGAAGAATTTTAGCTTACTCTTAGCAGGATTAAAACAAAGAAAACAACTAATTTTTGCAAACTGCTGCAAAACAAACAAAAATTTAAGCCCACCAGAGTTGGGATGTGAAGCATATCAAAAGAGCCAAAAAAATAATAATAATAATGTCAATTCCCTTTGCACAGAAAAAATGTAATCAGAAAACAATAACATTGTTTTTGGAAAAATGATCAATCTTACAGTTCTTCACTAAGAAAAATGTCATTAGAAAATAAGGGTAAAATGAAGGTCCCCCTTCCCCAGACAAACACAAGCTGAGAAATTGTTTCCATTGGAATTGCATTATAAAAATGCTAAATTCTTCAGTTAGGAGGAAGATGACACTATATAGAACTACAATTCTTAGAAATGAAGAACATCTCTAAGGGAAAATATATGGGAAAAGACAAAAAACATAAAAATAAATAAACAGTAGCCACTTAAAATAACATTATTTTTTGTGCTAAAAAATATGCTTGTTGTTTTCTAATATGTCAAAGTAAAATATATAACAACAATGGGAAAAAAGGAATGGTGATAAATGAAGTTAAACTGTGGTAAGATATTTTTTTTATGGAAAGTGATACAATTCTAATTTAAGGCTGAACTAGGTAAGTCATGAATGTGTAATGACCCAAATAATAACATGAAAATTGTAATAAAGTAGCAGCTGGAGGATGTAAAATGGACAACAAAAAATACTTAATTCAAAAGAAATTAAGAAAGGGGTTAAAAGAAAAAAAGAACAGATGGGACAAAGAGAAAACAGAGGAAGATGGCAGACATAACTCCAATTCAATCATAATAACATTGAATATAAATAAAACATAAACTAAAGCAAAGTAGCATATATTCAGTTATTTTGCACAGGAGATTAAAATTCAACTATATGCTATTTTTAAAAACATTTTGAATTTAAGGGCACAGACAAAACAGAAGCAAAATAATCAAACAAAAAATACCACACAAATAAAAGTGGTGTGAGTATTTAAGTATTAAAGTAAATTTTAAAGCAAAATGTTGTACTAAACAAAACAAGAACATGTCATAATAGTAAAAGGATCAATTCAGTGGAAAGACAGCCATCTCTAATGTGCATGTACCTAATGATACAGTTCCAGCTTTCAAAATTAACATTCTCTTTTTCCTCATTTTGATACACAAGGAAATTTCTTTCTTTGGAACTGTGACATGTTCTAAATTTTAGATACTCATTTTACACATGATTTCTATGTATGAATACAGAAGGAAAGGATGCTACCTGAACCTGCCAGGTGTTTATAGTTATATCAGTGTTTCAAAAGGTATGACAAGATACTTTTCACATAGAGATATTCTGGGAAAGTAAAGCATGGTCAATGTCCAAGTGAAAACATTATGGGAAATTTCATATTGCCATTTTGAAAAAATTATACTATCTTACCAATATTGTCAACTTATTCTGTATATATCACCTAGTATCCTAGCAGGTAGAGACTGACGGGGAATTTGCATGTTTCAGGAAAAGTGTATGATTGAGAATGATGAAGGCGACAGAGTTCTTCAGGGTAAATGGTTAAAGCTTTCCAGAGCTGACAGGACAGCAGAGTAAACGTTGATGGGAATGCAGGTAAGCAAATAACTAGAAGGGTGTGTAAAGTTGGTAATCACTAAAAAACGATGGCTCTTCCAGTATTACCCTAATATCCAATATAAACAATACAGTTTGGGACAGCCATTGCAGTACATTGAGCTCCATAGAGACAGCGCCGGGGCAAGTGAGAGCCGGACGGGCACTGGGCGACTCTGTGCCTCGCTGAGGAAAAATAACTAAACATGGGCAAAGCAGATCCTAAGAAGCCGAGAGGCAAAATGTCATCATATGCATTCTTTGTGCAAACTTGCCGGGAGGAGCACAAGAAGAAGCACCCAGATGCTTCAGTCAACTTCTCAGAGTTTTCTAAGAAGTGCTCAGAGAGGTGGAAGACCATGTCTGCTAAAGAGAAAGGAAAATTTGAAGACATGGCAAAGGCGGACAAGGCCCGTTATGAAAGAGAAATGAAAACCTATATCCCTCCTAAAGGGGAAACAAAAAAGAAGTTCAAGGATCCCAATGCACCCAAGAGGCCTCCGTCGGCCTTCTTCTTGTTCTATCCTGAGTATCGCCCCCAAATCAAGGGAGAACATCCTGGCCTATCCATTGGTGATGTTGCAAAGAAACTGGGAGAGATGTGGAATAACACTGCTGCAGATGATAAGCAGCCTTATGAAAAGAAAGCTGCCAAGCTGAAGGAAAAATACGAAAAGGATATTGCTGCCTACCGAGCTAAAGGAAAACCTGATGCAGCAAAAAAGGGAGTTGTCAAGGCTGAAAAAAGCAAGAAAAAGAAGGAAGAGGAGGAAGATGAGGAAGATGAAGAGGATGAGGAGGAAGAGGAAGATGAAGAAGATGAAGATGAAGAAGAAGATGATGATGATGAATAAGTTGGTTCTAGCGCAGTTTTTTTTTCTTGTCTATAAAGCATGTAACCCCCCTGTACACAACTCACTCCTTTTAAAGAAAAAAATTGAAATGTAAGGCTGTGTGAGATTTGTTTTTAAACTGTACAGTGTCTTTTTTTGTATAGTTAACACACTACCGAATGTGTCTTTAGATAGCCCTGTCCTGGTGGTATTTTCAATAGCCACTAACCTTGCCTGGTACAGTGTGGGGGTTGTAAATTGGCATGGAAATTTAAAGCAGGTTCTTGTTGGTGCACAGCACAAATTAGTTATATATGGGGATGGTAGTTTTTCATCTTCAGTTGTCTCTGATGCAGCTTATACGAAATAATTGTTGTTCTGTTAACTGAATACCACTCTGTAATTGCAAAAAAAAAAAAAAAGTTGCAGCTGTTTTGTTGACATTCTGAATGCTTCTAAGTAAATACAATTTTTTTTTATAAAAAAAATACAGTTTGTTAAATACTCTTCACCACCATCAGATGGGTAAGTTACAAAAACATAACACATTGATCATCATGAAAATAAACCTTTTGTAAATTTTGACAAGTCTGGTTTCATAGATAATTAAGGAATGATGGATTGTAGAAATTACTTAAGAGCTTTTATTTTCTTCAAAAGTATTAATAAAGACTATACTTTTCTCTGTCTACTGTCACCATTTAAGATGGTAGATTTCACAACAGAAAGTAAGCATTTTAACTCTCGGGTAGGAAATTGGACTACATCTTTATAAAATATTCATTTCATTATTAAAGACAGAATATCACCAGTTTGGGCCTATATTCACATAGAATATATAGTTTTAAAAGAATTTTTGAAGTGCGCTGTTGTCTTTGATAGATGTGGCTTAGTTAATCATGTTACTAGTGGATGTGTCTTTGAAAAATTGCCTGATTTTAATCCACTGAATTCAGAGTGCTAGTCTTACACATTTTGCTTTTAAAAACTTGTGACAACTTAGAGAGCTAGAGCCATGAGTTAATTTTTCCTTGTGGTGACATCTATAGGAGTGACAGTATTTCTTTTTCAGTTGCTTAATTAATGTCAGAATTAATAAATCATAATTAGCGTTAAGATATAAATATCTGCTTATGTAATTAAAGGCAACATTCCTTAAAAAAGACAGGCAAGCAAATATATCCTTTGGTGACTAGTTTATTCCCTTATCATGAATCTTTAAAGTGTGAATATCACAGATCTCCTAAAGTATTTATAAGATTGCACACATCATCACTAATTATTTTTCGTATGACATACATTTGGTACCCCTGTTGAATTTATTAGCCATAGTATTCATACATATATTTAAGGACACAAAACTTATATGAAAAGAAAAGAAAAATTTCCTTGTTATGCTTTTAATTTTTGAAATTTACAGTTCTATTGTTGTATTCTGGGCTACAAAGATAGCTCAAATAATCTAATAAATCACAGACACAGAAACAAAATGAAACATCTTTTCCAGAACAGTTTCATTAGTGTAGTAAAAACAAAGGCCAGATTTCAAGGGAAGAGAAAAAGAATTGTGGCAATTCAAATGTTCCTCAATTTAGGATGGAGTTACCTGCTAAGACAAATTAGGATCCCCCTCTCCTTCCCCATCCAGTTGAAGACCTGGTCCTGGGATCTGTCTCTTTATGAGCATATTTTTGCATATTTACTTATCTTTCTGCAAGCCTATGTTTATATTATGCCTTTCCTATCAAGTCTCTTTTAAGTTACTATTTAAAATTACATATTTTATATAATCATATATTACATTAAAAAGAATGATCAAGAATGCTACTTATTTTTTACTCTGTATATGAATGTAGACAAACTGGTACAAAGCAGAATGGAAAAAGTTACATGAAAAAATGAAGAAAAATCCTGGATTATATGTAATACTAAATTTTAACTTCAACTAGTAAATTGGCCCTGGAAGGAATCTAGTTCTCTGAAATATTTAGTTTTTGCATTTAAATTTTTTGAACAAGATAATGCAGATGAGTACTTTATTTGAATTTTGGAATGAATTGTCTTCTTACTCTATTCAACTCATACTTAGACATGTGGGCTAATGATAATCATGTGCAGTGCAGGATATCTTTCCAAGGTTGCTTTGAGGAAGCTAAAGATTTAAGCTGGTTCACCAAAGCTTGCATACTACCATTCAGCTTCATTTCTTTTTCTAGAAATGGAATATTTACCAAAACCTGATGAATACATTTGAAAAAACTGCAGTGACTTTTCATATGCACCAATGCAGGGAATTGAGATTGGCATACTCTTTTCATCTTTGTTAAATCTAGAACCATATTCATCAAAACTCACTGGCCTATGTCTATGTTATATTGCATACTTGGAACATATCTTCCTGGAGATTTCAGTTTAAACAGTAAAAATTAAAAATCACAAATAATCAAAAGTTACCTTGTGTTATGATCAGAAAGAATTGGCATTCATGGAAGAAACATGTCATCTTGCTTGATGGGTGGAAGGAACAGATCTTTTAGAGAACTTACAGGCTTCTAGAAGAATCAGATACCAACAATTCTACAAAGACTGGTGGAAAATCAGGAGACCTGAGTTTTTGATCTGGTTCTTGTCTGGAGTTTGTAAGATGTTCCTGCTTATGTTGCATCGTGTCATCTTTATGAAGAACTCAAGGAAGATTATGTGTCCATTATTAGTACTAATAATATCTGTGTTTCTCCTGAGTAATTAGTTCAACTGAATCTTTAAAAATGCACAAATGTCATTTGGTTTCTAGGAAGCATATAACCAATGTTATAAGACATTGTATGCAAGTGTTTATCTGTGAGGTATTGCAATTTTTTTACTCTCATTTCTCAACCTTTTATTATTCTTTTCTTGCTTTACAATATGCACATTTATCTGGTATCTCAACTTATTATTTCCCACATCTTTAGCTGGGTTTTTTTTTTTTTTTTACCTTATGGGAGCCTTGATTTTTCCACCTCTAAAGTAGTATTTAGAAAGTTCTATGTTTTAAGATACTTATTTTTTATAATATTACCTGAACTTCTATTAATAGGGAAAGATAATAAGAATTATAAATACACTACCTAGTGGTACTTAAAGACAGCATAGGAAAATATTATAATTGCATTGAATGAAAATTTTATCTACTTTTATTTAGAATCTCTCCTGAACTTCTAAAATGGCAAACAGACTTACATAATTCAGAAATTTAATGAACAGATATGTATTTTGTAATTGGAGATCATGCACAGTTATAAAATGATTTTGTTACACATGAAAGGCTGCCTGAAGAATAAACTATCCCTAGAATAAACCGCAAGTATTTTAAAGAGAAGATAAAAAGTTAATTATATCCTAAGTCTTGTCTAAAATCTCCACCTTACCTTCTTCATTGTATTATGCTGAATGAGAAACAGGTTATTCCAATTAATAAGTTCTACATTATGAGAAGAGAAACTTGTCAATTTGCAATAGGTAGACATGTACCATAAAATGCTTTCTAACTTACAGAAAAGGTGTTTTAACATTACCCACTGCTTAACAATACAGGAGCTGATTTAAAGAGGCTATGTAATTCTTTTGGAAAACACTAGACTATCAAATATGCAGTATTCCTGAGTCATGATTTTCATAAGTTAACAGCCAGATGAGAGTGCTGTGGGAAAAAGCATGCTAATTTGTTCCAATTTAATGGCATTACTGCACAAGCTACTGAACAGTGCAGCAGAGCAGAATCAACAGCTGCTGTGGAAATGAGATTATTTAAAACAAGCAGAGGGAGCACATTTATGACCAAGGTCAGAGCCTGAATATTGCTCTCTAAGTAGTGCTTGGATAGTCAGCATGGTATTTTGGCAAGGGGAGAAAAGAAAATTGGGTGAAGTCCAAAGAGGACAACGCAGATGAGGTTCCACATGATTATAGTACTGTCACATTTAGCAAAAATCTAGTGCCCCTTATTTGTAATTCATGACAATAATAGCATGGCCAGAGATGAAAACCAGGCAGTCATATCATCACAGAGAAAGTCAGGCAAGGCATGATAAATTAGACCTCAGCTACAGTCTAGGCATAATTAAGAAGTAAGTTTCAGCATAGTTAGCAGGGAGCAATTCCACTGAGCAGAAGTAATTCCTGGAACTTTCTGGATATATGAATTAAAAGTAGGGTTGCCAGATTTGACAAATAAAATACAAGAAACTCAGTAAATTTTGTGTCAGATAAAATGAATAATTTTTAATAATAGCATGTGCCAAATACTATATGTGCTTATACTAAACATTTCATTATTTATCTGAGATTTATGTTTAACTGGTCATCCTATGTTTTAGCTAACCCTAGTTAGAAGATCTTGGGTGAACTGGATTAAATCTCCCTATCTATAGGCCTTACTTCAGCATAACAAAACCTTCCATTTAATACTTATGTTGGTTTCTCTTGTGATAATAAAAAAGTTACTGCAAATTAGTGACTTAATAGCAACACAAGTATAAAATTTTAGAGTTTTGTAGGTTGGATGTCCAACATGGGTCTCATTGGGCTAAAATCATGGTGCTACCAACTCTATTTTTCTTTTGATGGCTCAAGGAAACAGTTTGTTTCCTTACCTTTTCCAGAGTCTGGAGAACCCCCACAGTTCTAGGCTTATGTACCCCCCCCCTTCTTATATTTTCTAAGCTAGAAATGGCAGACCAAATTTTTCTCACAAGGCATCATTATGACCTTCTGCCATGATGTATTTCCTTCTAAGTCTTTTCTTTTTCTATTTTCACTTAAAGGACCCTCATAATTCCATTGGGTGCATAATGCCTGATAACCTCCATCTTAGACATTATCATATTAGAGGCTTGGGAGCTGTCACATTAATTTAGATATATTTATCTCAGACAACAAGCTGCCTTTTCTCAAAATGACTTGCCATGCTACTCTTCTTGGCTAATCAGATTCACTTTAATAAGGTTCAAAGAAAGCAGACCGTATTTGAGAATCAAAACAATAATGGGGAAAAGCCCCAAACATATCAAAACCCAACACTGTAATTCATTGATTTAGCATCATTTTCCTAATAATCTATTATGGTATTCTTGTGCTTCATCAATTCATGAGGATTAGTATGTAAAATGCAAGTGACAATTCTAAAAATATGAAATTTTAAGAAGAGAGAATTATAGTAAAGTAACAGTAGGGAATGAATTTTTTTGATTTATTTTTTATCAGAATACTGTATGTCTAGACAGATACCACACACACACATTGGGGTCAAATATTAATTTACAAGCTTGAATGGAAAATTACTGGGAGAAATTCCATTCTTAGTCTTCTATCATACTAAGATAACTTGTTAGATGAAGCCATGGTATATATTCCAGGATATTCCCCATCTGTGTCTGGAAAGAACTACATCTATTGGATTTAAAAGGGAAGACCTCATTGTTTTCTTATTTAGGCAA